TTTTTTTTGGTTTTTTCTCCGGTACCAGGAACCAAACTCACGACCTTGCGCTTGCCAGACAGGTGCTTTGCCGCTGAGCTAAATCCCCAGCCCCAATCTGGGATTGTTCTGCGCGTATCATTTTCAACCTGATTCTTTAAATCAGACACACAAGCTCGAATATCGCATGGTTTCTCTTATAGGAGAAACTCAAATTATAAACAAGGAGCAAAATAAAAGATAAAGAACAGGAAGTAGGGAGCTAGGTCTTTCTCCAATGCAGGGGGGATCACCAGATGGAGGGAGAGGGGGAGGAGGAGAGGGAAAGCAGGTGAAAAATAGGATTAAAATTATGTACGAGAACCAACTTCACACAAGGAATGAGAACATTACGTACTGCAAACATACACTGATAAAAAAATAATAGGGGAGGAGAAAAATCTTCCCAAAATCTAAATATTTTTCCATAAATTCATTTTAAATGCCTCAAAAAAGTCCATCCAGACTTAAAAAAAAAAAAAAAAGTTTAGCTGATGTTCTTTTTATTGTTAATCGTTCTACAGTAAATGTCTTTATAGGCATGTGTGCGTGCATGTTTTCAATAATCTTTTATAATGAATTCTTGGAGTGGAACTACTAGCTCGGAGGATTTACAGCACATCCAGCCTTTATAACAATAACAGTAAACCTAAGACTAGCTAACACGGATAGGGTGCTTCCCAGGAGCCAAGCCTAACTTGCATGACTGCAAAGGTATGTCCCTTGATTGTGTACATTTTGGGGCTGAGAGAGCAGGGCCCAACCTGCAGCAGTGTCTCACCCAGAGTCACCGGCTGCTGCCCGCCAAGGGGTCAGGTTGTGCTTTGAGAGAAGCCAGCCAGTGCCTGCACCCTGTTCCTCTTTAGTGCTCGGGAAGTCATCGTGCGCCTGGACACATTCCCAATTTACTCCCTCTACTTGATGATATATTTTATATATTTTCACAACCAGTGAAACCCTCCCCTATTGATCTTGGGAAGGAAAAAAGCCAACAGTGACATTTTTGATAAACCCTTGGCTAAACACAATTAGAAGGGAAGGTGCAGTAAATAAGAAATCACATCAGCAGACCACTGAGAGGTAAAATTTCCATTCTTTTGGCTTTGTGGTGCAGTCTTTGCCCATCGTGCAATAACCTTGAGATGTTCATCAGTTTCAGTGACCTTGAGCCCAAGATCTCTAGAGTCCACACCATTGCCGATTTGGTCTTTGGAGTAATAACATCGACCCTGCTCCTGCGTTGGATCAAAAGGAAGCATGAGGAAGGCGTGACCTTGTGGGACGAAGGAGTATAAAATCAATCCATGCATGTGCTCAGCAGATACTGACTGAAGTCTGTCCTGTAGACACACACAGAGAAGGCATTGGCTCTGCCTGAAGGAGATGGAAATACAAGTTAAGAAGTGATGGCAGCATTAAGCGAGGGCCCTGAGATGCAGCATAGGCAGAGGATGTGAACAGATTCGCTATCATTGTTCTGATCTGGGTGTCACTGTTGCCTCTGCCATGAAGTAGCCAAAGTGTTTATGGAGGAGTCTCTCCAGATTCAGTTTCACCACCCTTAAAGTGACAACTCTTCCTCTTCAGGTTGCTATGAGAACAAATGAGATAACACCTACCGAAGGCGAGCACCTACAGAGATCAGTCAGTCGATCTAGCCGGTCTCCAGCCCTTGCAGCTTACTCGCAGCTTACTTCACTGAGTGATTCCTCTCCCCTCCCCAGCCTTGTATAAGGCTGAGCGAGTGGAGGTCTGGGGTAGCTCACCTGAGCAGGCTGCTCCGGCTGTGTCCGCCCAAGTGCAGCCGTCTAGGGGTCGGGGAAGCGTAGACAGTGTGCACCCTGTTCGCACTGCGCTCTTGGAGGTTGCTCAGAGCCCGTGCCATGTATCGTGTATGGTGTGTGCAACAACCGCCAGCCGTTAGCTCTTACTGTTCCTAAAATCTGGGGTGCATGTGCTTTGGGAGCATGAAAGTGGGCCACTGCTCCCAACCTGTGAGGGACTGTGGATAGCTTCCTGCAGGGCAGACGACTCAGGATGAGTCCTGGGGATGTGGGAGGAGAGTTGAACAGGTACAGAGTCAGGACAGAAGGGGGAAGATCTTTCTAAGCAGAGGGCAAATGGAATGTCCCTGTGGTATGGCCTGGGTTGGAGCATCACAAAGTGATTGTTTTCTTTTAAGAAACTGTGCTTTCGCCTAGTCATGGCTCACTGACAAGGACATAGCTGATCCTTTTGGAACTGGTTCTTGTAGACCAGGACTGAGGCAGGGCAGCCCATGGAGAGGTCATGGCTGTGCCCTGTGTCGAGTGAGTGCAGATTTACAGCCGGTACACAGCTCCAGCTAGGAACACATATTCAATAAAAGGAAAAAGTGCCCAAGCAGCATAAGCTCAGAGTCACCCTTTGAACTGGGGACATACACTTTTATGTGCCACAGGAAAAGTGTCACTGTAAAGCGATCAGAACTTAATAGTTTTCGGCTATTTCTCTCTATTCTCAGAAATTTGATGTGAGAGACCCCATTTTCAGACAGATGTCACACTCTGCCAAAATCAGGCCATAACATATTGAGCCAACAAGTACTGAGCACCTACTATGTGCCACGTGTCAAGGGGCTCGAGCAGTGGACAGGGCAGAGCTGGGCCCTGCTTGTATGGCTGGTAGGCACTGGCATGGATGCCTAAGAATCCCGAGGAGGGCCCACCCACCAAGAAACGCCTTGTTCGTCCTTCCCCCCCAGCAGGGCCTTACTGCTGTTTCAGCTGGAAATCCCACCTGGAAACAACTCTGAGAGGGAGAAGCGCTGGGATATGCAACAAGTTATTAGAGATAATGATGGCTTAACCTTTTGTACAGGTCCTTCATCCTTTTCTATTCATCCCACCATTCCTACCCTCTCCAGACCAGAGATTTTCAAAATATACTCCTCTTAAAGAAAAAAACACAAAGAAAAAGAAAAAGAAAGGCAGAATATCTCCTTTGGAACCTAAAAAATAAGCCCACAATTTAAGGTTTGATATATGAGAGAGAAGGGTCTTGGAAGAACCTATAATCTGCTTATCTTCAACAAGCAAACCACTAAAACTCCTGCCAAGCCCAGCAGGCCCTCAGAGGAGTTAGGCTCAGTAAACACTCCAGGTCAAAAGCTTTCTTATTAATGCAAAAAACAGCTTTGCTTTCATCTTGTAGAACCAACCATCAGCACATTCTATCTCTGAAGGCCCTCCATCAGCCTCCCCGACACTGAAGGGAAAATCTGAAGCTCTTCTAGAAGACAAGCTCTACCGGGCATCTACAAAGCTTCTCGTGTGCTTGTCTGTAGTCGGTGCTCAGTAAATGTGTCAGGGAGGATCAGTTGCCCGGGCCTGCTGGCTCTCCCTGCAGTCAGGTTAAGCAGCCATCTCTTCCTCTTCTTGGACTCCACTGTGTCACCCCGTCTCCTCTCACTGAATCATGACAAGCTCTGTCCCTGGTGCATGGCAACTTCCAACACTGTAACAAATACCTGGTAAATCAATATCCAATAATCAGCAGAATTGAGATAAATCAATTTATGGAGAAAAAGGTTTCTTTTGGCTCCAGTTTCAGCAGTTTCAGCCCCAGTTTCAGATCAGTTCCCTTGCCTTGGGCCTGCGGTGGATGACATGCCATGGTAGGAGCTCAGAGCAGAGCAAAGCTGTTCACTGCATAGCCAGGAATGGAAGACAAAAGAGGAAAAGGTTAGGGTCCCACTTTCCCCTTCTGGATACACCTCTAAAGACAAGCAAGCTACCCCCAATGAGGTCCCTCTCTAAAAGGATCTAACACCTTCCAACAAAACCAAGCTGGGACCTAGTCCTGTAAAACATGGGCCTCTTGGGGACACTTAAGATCCAAACTGTAGTGCTCTGCTTTTTGGGGGGATGTCACCTCTTCCTGCTGCATTCCTTCTTTGGATATTCACTTGGCTCTGGCCTTGCTTACCCCAGGTCTCTGCCCACAAATCATGCCTTCAGTGAGCCCTTTCCTGACAAGTGAATCAAAAACAGAACACTCCTCCATAGTGTGTCTCCTTATCCTGCTTTGATTTACTTAAATCCACTTTACTCAGGTATAATTTTAAAATGATCAAATATACCCATTTTTAAAGAAACACTTTGATCCTTAAAATTTGGAAAGTGTTTATCCACCAAAGAAGCACCATTGTGATCCTGATGCAGAACTCCTCCCTGCCCCAGTAAGGACCCCCACACCGGGCCTCATGCCTCCTTCTCCCAGGCAGGCCACTGGGGATTGGATTTGTGTGTCCCAGAGGAGAATCATGTACAGAGATTCATGCTTCCTTTTGTGTTTGGTGTCAGTGAGAGTACACATGTCCTGCACATTGATGCACTTTCCTTTGATTCCTGTGTAGACTGTCAGCTGTGTGGATGTAGAGTGCCCCCTCTGCCCATGGGACACATGGCCCAAGACCCCGAGGGGTGCCAGAGGCCAATCCCTGTATATACTATATTTTTCTACACATTCCTTCCTAAAATAGATTGTTTTATATTTTACTTTTTAAACTATTCAAATACCATTCAATCCTCTATAGTCCCTTAAATAAGGACTTGTTTCTTAAACTGTGATATTCCAAATATATTCCTTCTTAATCCCTCAAACACACTAGTTAGCCCCAATTCCTATGTATCACCAACAAGAACGAGAAAATGGAGATTTTTAAAATAATAGAGTACTACTCATCCATTCAAGAAACATTTTTTGGCCAGGCCTGGAGCAGTGCTTTTGCAATCCCAGCACTCTGGGAGATGCAGGCAGGGGTATAGCAAGGGCAAGCCCACCCAACTGAGCCAACAGAGTGGTTTAGCAAAGTGGGCTAGGGATGGAGCTCAGTGTGAAGTATCTGGGTTCAATTCCCAGTACCAAAGGAAAAAGACGAATCACTTATTAAGGACATAGCTACCAAGACTTGTGCCAGAGTAACATGCCTATCATGTCATTTAATTTGTAAAATCATAACAGTATACTGTAAGGAAAGATTGTAAAGAGGCTCTCTCTATCTCTCTCTCTCTCACACACACACACATCAAAACACTGCAAAGAGTGAAACTTTGGCAATGGAGGGACCAGGGTACTAAAGTTTGCCCGCCACTTTCCCTGTTGAGGGACATTGGAGTTGGCTGATTTGCTTTATTCTTTATCCCTAACCCTCTTCACTCCTTGGCATTGCACTCCCCATTCACAGAGTCAACTCCAGGAGGGCAAGAGCTGTGTCCATCTCATTCACTGCTGTGTGCCCAGAGCCCAGAGCAGTGCCAGCCAGGCACACAGTGGGTGCTCAGGATTGGTTGAAAGAATGACTGATTTCACCTTTTTTTCTCCCGTAATACAAGGAAGGGGGAGAATCAGACTTACAGTTGTGCCTTAGAGCTGTCTTTTCCATGAACCCTAACTTATAAACCATTATGTGACTATACACGTGCACACGCGTATGAACAAGCCTGCCCACGACTTATCCTAGCTGCCCGACTGTTGCGGGTGTTGACTGCCTCATAAGTCAGCAGATTAAAGGTGTGGTCTCTGAGGCTGGTTGGTTGGGTGTGAATCTTGACTCTACCACTTACTGACTTATAGGCAAGGTATCCAGCCTCTCTGTGCCTTAGTTTCCCTGCATGCAAAATTAGCTTGATTTGTATTCAAAAGTGTTTTTATGAACCTCAAGATGGTTCTTGAGAATCACTCAGGACAGTACGTGGCCTCACTAAATGTTAGCTTACGCTGTCATCAGAGCAGTTAACAAGCAAAAACAAGGGAAAACTGCAGTGTTTACTAAAATTTCTACAAGTATTCTTTTTTTTTTACTTTATTAGTCCATGATTGCAGTACAGAATCACTACATTCATGGTAGAGAATTGATAGAATACATAACATTTAAATTCTTTTTTCCTCTTCCCTCTACTTCTCTTTTATATTGCCAGCATCAGATTCATTTATGTATCATATAAGACTTTACAAAGTTAAGTATCATATACACAGACTAAAAGCTAGGATAGGTCTGGGGATGTAACTCACTGGTATACCACTTGCTTAGCATGCAATAGACCCTGGGTTCCATTCTCAGCACGACAAACACAACAAGAAGCAAACAACTAAAAAGAATATATTTGCTATGCAGCAGACTGCTGACTTCTTCAAACAATGTGTATCTTTAAAAATAAAATATTTTTTAAAAGCCAGGATAATAGACCAAAGAACATATAAAACATGTAAGACAAGTATGCTAAGTCAAGGTACAATTTTAGATACATTGTCCACACTGGATTATAATAACACTCATTTCCCATTAACTTCTACCTCATTCTTTATATATTGTTTTTTGTATAAGAGAAATCATGTGATATTTAAGCAGGTATGTTTGAATTACTTCACTTAACATTATGACTTCAAAAAAAAGACAAATCAAGGTATTTCTTGTACAGGTACAAATTCCCTGTGATGAATGCAATCATTGTATATAACTATATTGTGCCAATAAACTTAATTAAATTAAAATATACATATAAAATTTTTTAAATAACATTTTGGGCTCAAGGTACATCCACTTTCCTACAAATGATTCAAGTTTATCCTTCTTTGTGGCAGCCTGGTTCTCCATTGTGTATAAGTACATTTTATTTATCCATTCATCTGTTGATAGACAAATAGACTGCAAAATTTAGCTATTGTACATTGTGCTGCTATAAACATGGATATGCATACATCACTGTGACAGGATGTTTTAACACTTTTGAAAAGATGCTTAGAAAGCAATGGCTTGGTCAAATGGAATTTCTACTTTTGAGGAATCTCAAAACTGCTGTCCATAGTGGTTGTGTCTGCTGACAGTCCACCAATGAAGAAGGGTTCCTTTCTCCCCACAGCCTCTCCAGCACTTCATTTCTGCAGCATCTACCCATTCTAGATGGACTCTCAGTGTTGTTTTAATTTGCATTTCTCAAATAGCCAGCAACGTTGAACATTTTTCATGTGTTTACCGGCCATTTGTATTTCTTCATGTGAGAAGTGTCTATTCATTTCAGATGCCCATTTTTAGATCAGGTTTTTAAATTTGGGAAGTCTAACTTTTTTTAGTTCCATATACATTCTAAATACTAGTCCTTTGTCTGAGGAGTAGGTGGCAAAAGATTTTTTTTCCCATTCTGTAGGTTATCTCCTCACTCTGTTGATGGTTTCCTTTGCTCTACAGAAACTTTTTAACTTGATGTGACTCCATTTATTAATACTTAGCATATTTCTTGTGCAAGTAGGGTTGTATTCAGAAAGTCTTTGCCTACACCTACCTATGTCTTCAAGAGTTTTACTTGTTTTGTCTGCCAGCGGATTAAGGGTTCTTTAAAATGTCATGTCCTTCCACAAAACTGATCACACTGGTGTAGACTTTACTCTAGATATTGTTTCAGGCCTAACAGAGACCTGTAACAGGTACTCATTATATTCCAGGTATGGCTCTGGAATGCAGGGTTGGGTGTAACAGACAAGCCCCTCACTCTTCAGGAATTAGTATCCAAGAGGAGAAAGATAAGCTATAAATTAATGGATATGCCACACATTTTCTCATAGTGATGAGTTTTTGCTGTGGAGGGAAGCAAGGAGAAGAGCTAGAGGTGTTTCAGGGTGGAAGGTCAGGTACGCCCCTTTGTGAGGTTGTAATGTTTGTGCCAGGGCAGATACACCAGAAACAGGCAGCTGTGAGACCAGGAGAAAGAGACTGGGCAGAGGAATAGCTGGTGCAAATGCCCTGAGGTAAGCTCCAGGAACAGAGAGAAGGGCAGTGGGACTGGAGTACAGAAAGAGAGGAATGCAAAGAGCAAGGAAGGGGCTGGCTGTCAGAGAAGCTTACAGAGCTGGCATGGATGGCTGACACTCAGCAAGACCTCCTGACCTCTCCAGGCATCCTTCTTTGTCTCTTCCAGTGAGACATCTTCGTATCCCCACGTGGCCAGCTACGTCTGCTCAAGTGTGATCCTGGCTCTGCTGCGCTCTTCCTCCCCATTCTCTGCCCAGTGGCATCTTGAAAGGAATCACAAACCAGGCCAGCCACTAGATAGGCCGGTGGCTACAGCCAGCTTCTTGGAAAACTTGGAGCAGCTTCTCATAGTGTTTTGACTCATGCAAATCCAAATTCAAATCTCTGCTTGGCTGCCAGCCACACTCAGTGGCTCGGGGTACTTGCAGCTCTGGGTACTTGCCTTCTCCTTGGGCAGCCAAGGCTGTCTCCTAAGAAGCAGGGATAAGGCGAGGGTCTCGGGAGGGTGGGATGAGACAGCACACATCAGCATTTCCTATTATGTATGGCACGTAACCCATGCACAACCAAAAATGAGCTCGATTTGGCATGATGACTTTTTCCACTGTTGCAAGGTGGCATGTCCTAAGAGAATCGAGATGAATTCTACCCCACCCCAACTCCAAGGAACTGGGAGTTCCCTTGGGCTTCTGGGGAGTCTTACACCGTGAGTTGCTACAGTCTGGAAATGCAGGTGGTCACTCCGCTCTGGAAGTGGAGGGCCTCCTTCTCCTGGCCCCCAGGAGTGCCCAAAGCCCAACCAATTGCCTCTAGTTAAGTCAGTCAGATACTGGAAGGTGGGAACTGAACAGCGAGTCCTGAACAAGACAAGCAAGGCCACGCTCAGGGAAGCCACCTCCACTGGAGGGCACTGCCCCTTTGAAAGAGAGCAAAGAAACGGAGCTGAACTCTAATGAGCAATCAGCCAGACATCCTCTGCCTCAGGCCTGACTGGAGGCAGAGAGAGATGAACAGTCTCAATGAGTGACCCACTGCCACTAAGTCGTTGGCACTGTCACCGATGTGACCAGAGACCCTGCAGTAATTTGGTTTCAAGCGGCCCCCACTGTCACACAGAGCTTTCTGCACTCGCCAGCTGCGGAGCATGCTTGGCCATCTGAGGGGGAACAACATCAGACAGGGAGGCCAGGGACAGGGCCAGTGTGGAGAGAGGAGAGCAGCCGTCCGCCGTCTGTGGGAAATGTCACTATTTATTGCTTTTCCCAGTCCGCATCAGCCCTCAGCAAGCAGACGTTCCAAATAGCAATAAAGTTATTTTCTCCGTCTCCTGGGGTCCTGGACCTGGTAATAACATCTTCCTGAAGGGCAATGAGTCTGTCTTTAACCTTGTCCTCCTTGGCAGGTGAGTATTGGTGCGGCTTCCAGAAGCTTCTCTGGGCTGCACACACCCCGTGTGTGGACACCTTCCCTCACGTGAGAGTGACAGGCCCTGCTCCACGGTCCAGGCACCTCTTCTCTCTTCCAGCTCCTCTGGAAACCCACTAAGTTATCTTAATTACCCTTCCTCCTTGGTCTCTGCCAAGAAGTTGAGAGATTTATAATTGGATCAGTCAAATATTTGCTGTGGTTTATTTCTTTGCCTCTCGCACTCTCGTGAAAGTTGCATTTTCATGCCACTTTTGGGTATGAGTGATGACTCGAAGGCACAGCCTTCACGGCGCGTGCCAGCGTGAGTTATTTTCAAAGGACAGTGCGAAAGTGAGGACTTGGGGGGTGGCAGTGTTTGTTTCGGATTATTCAGCTATCCCGTTTTGGGTGGTTGCAAGAGACACATGCTGCTTTGGGAGACAAACTTCCTCCCATGACCAGCCCATGCATAGATTCATCTTGTTGGAATTTTCTCCTGTCCCTTCAAATCCCTGTCCAGGGCACTGCAGACCTATTAGATAGAACGTGCCAAGGCACAAGCTTTTTAGTCAACCAAGCACAGCGTGGTCCCTAAGCCTTCTCATGTCCTGGATTGATCACCACGGGTCCTGGAACAGAGAAATCAGATGTCCCTGGTCCTCAGCCTGAGTTATCAACTCCCAGTGATGGGCCACGCAAAGGGGACTCTGGCCAGGGCCCAGGCTTTTGGAAACTGGCCTCCTTCTAGTATCAGGTGTCTGCCAAGCAAGCTGTCCAAGCTGTAGTGTAGGACTGCCGCCCTGCAGAGCAGAGGCTCCCCTGAACCAGATGGCCTCCCTGCAAACCCTCTCCTCCCTGGCTCCTGGTCCCCCTACCCTGGAAGGCAGTTGGCTCATTTCATCCACCTTATGTTTCCAGCCCCCAACCCTTCCCTGGGCTCCAGCCACAGTGAACAGGGCTCTGTGATGCTGCTTGGTACATGGAAACCTGTGAGTGAGGAAACCATCTATTCCAGTCCAGAGCACTTCAGAGCTGGAAAGGAGGACCACAGGCGTGAACTGGGACACTCATGGGCAAAGTGAGATAAATAGGGCTGGTGTGAAGGGCCCGCACATCTCAGAGTTGGAATTTTACCAATACAAAACACCGGCATTTCCTTGGGTGATCAGTCCTCCCTGGACCTGGGAAGGAAGAGAGGCAAGGACTCAGGAAACCTCTGAAGGCCACACTGACGTAACTGTTCTCATCATTTCAGTGGCTTAATGTGACCAGCATTTATCAGCTGCTCATAGTGCAATTTCAGGCTCTCCTCCAAGTGCTAATTCTAGCATGCAGGCCTCTCCTACCTTGTGGCTCCTCTATCGTGGGCTGCTGGGTGTCCTGGCAAGCCAAGTGCAGTGGCACACACATTTAATCCCAGCACTCTGGGAGGCTGACACAGGAGGATCACAGGATCAACCCAACCTGGGCAACTTAGCAACTTAGTGAGACCCAATCTCAAAATTAAAGGCTGGGGATATACATCAGTGTGAAGGGCCAGGATTTAGTCACCTGTAATGTGCACACACACACACACACACACACACACACACACACGAGTGATGGAAGTGGATGAAGAGCGCATGAGGGATTGTACAGGGTGGAGAATAGAGCGTATCTTCCAGCTTCACGCCAAGTCCGGATGGGTGACATAGCCCACCTAACCGCACATGGCCCAGGAAGGAGGCAGACGCTGACATGGGCAACAACTAGCAACCTGTGCTCCTCCAGAGGTCACTGAGGAATGAGGTAAGGGAAGAAGGGAAAGGAGACAAGGGAAGGAACAAAAGGAGCACAGTGCCCGTCTTCCCTGAGAATCCGAAAGATGTCAGGAAGACCTTTATTCAAAGGCAACTCCCGAATCTCAGGCCTGTGTGGATTTGACCCTGAGCCAGAGTCACATCCAGTGCATGCCCTGCACTTGGTGATGCAGGGATTCCAGGCTCGCCAACTCTAGCTTGACCTGTTTCTCTCCCTTTCTAGAAAGCAGCTGAGAAGAAGGAAGTAAAAGGCATTATTCTGAGGCAAACCTTCAATACCTCCCAATTTAGTTTCCCTTCCACGGACTTCATTTACAAGCTTGTTATGTTATTCATTTGCTATTTAACAAATATTTCTTGATCAGATTCTGCTCCAGGTGAATCTGATTCAGCAGTGAATTCTAACGATGACAGCTGAAATGGTTTGAGAATGTTTACCATACAAAGCACTGACTATCCCAAGTGCTTTAAATGTATTGACGCGCTTAATCCTCACAGCAGCACTTTGATGCAGATACTGTGATGATCCCCACTTTAAAGATAAAGGGACAGAGGTACAGAGAACTTAGCTGGCACAAGTGTCCCAGCAGAACTCCACCCCCAGCGACCTAGCTCTGAAGTCCTCACTCTTAACCATGCCAACATGCAAATGATATGGCCTCACTGTTTAGATTCTTCTTAGTGGGCTAACAGTGGTGTAAAAACAGTTATATCATTTTACAGAGTGATGAGAGCTTGGAAGAAATAAAATGTAAGAAAGGAGAGAGGAATAAGACACCAGCTACCACATCACACCATCCCCTCATGCCCCGGTACTTATTTGAGAATCTGTAAGTGGCAGATTCCTCCTTCAGTGAAAACTGCCCTCCAAGCTTCCGCAGAAGGACTCCGAGGAGCCAGGCAAAATAGATGTCCTATCTGCACTCTGAAAAATGCCTTACCCCAGAGTAATTTGATTGGTTGGACAGTAAGCGCAGCAACTAGTCCTAAGCCATTTCTTGTCCCTCGGCTAGCAGGCCTGCTCAGCGAGAGATGACGAATGCCCAAATTAGTAATGACCAATGGCCCCACACAAGTAATCACCTTCCCCAAACTTTTCCTCATGGGGGTGATAACTTGGACCCCAAATGAAGTCTATTCTTCTCACCTCGGCACCGAGGAAGTTACAGTCATTCCTCTGGCTGACAGCAATTTGTAGACGTGGGTCTTTGCAGTCGGACATTCACGAGGTTGCTAAGGAACAGATGCTTTGGTTACAAAGGTCTCCGAAAGCAGTATCAGTTTGTCATAGCCCTTCATGTCATTTATTTTAGCCCATAAAGACAGCTGTGACCAATGGAATATGGGATAGAGGGAAGCTAAACACAAACAATTATTTCCTGAGATATGGGACACATTTCCTCCTCCTGGGCAGTGGCTGTCTGCAGCCCCCAACATGGGGAACCAGAACCGTATGCTGCTTTCCTGTCATCATTCTGATTTGCAAGTAGATGACTTATAGCCACCAGGTAGTTTTTAAAATGCTTATCACCTCCAAGGCCCTGCCCTAAGCATTAGCTCATGTCAGCCTTAACACGGCCCCGAAAGTCAGGTGCTGCTAGCCCCCAGTGTGAAAGCTGGAAAGAGAGGGAAGATAGATTCAACAGCCAACAACAGCGGATGTCAGAGTCAGAATTCAAGCCCAGGTGTGTCTGATGGCAAAGCCTTTGTGCTTCAGATTATAGAGTCTTTTGTTTTCAGTGATCACATTTCAGGTGGGAACACTGGCACTTGTGATGACGGGAAAGTTACACAGGGAGACTTCTTCCTATGAAGTTCGAGAGAGGGGTTATGGTTGATGTCTGTAACCGGAAAATATCTCTGTATGGAGGGGAAGGTGGAGAGAGCTTAGTCCCCCGGTGCTGGTCTTTATCTGCTGAAGACCTACACTTTGAATGCTCTCCTGAAGTCAGAGTGCAGGTAACGTTTCTATGCAGTGATTTTGAGTCTGGGAGATCAGTCCATTTCTCCTGGGGTTCTACCAATTCTCTTGTCAACAAGTGAGAAACTGGGGTCCTTTTTGGCTTCTCTCTCAGCCCCTCTGTGCAGCCCTCAGTCAAACCCTGTCTGCTGTCCGTCAGAAATGTCCCTCCAGCATTGTCTCCTCCACTGTCCTCATCAGGCCCTTCTCATCACAGGGGGGTTCCTTCACCTCCCATTTCCTAACCAGTTTTCCTACTTGTTCTCCTTCCCCCTATAGACACCTCATAGCCCGCCTGCAGAACCTCCCTTTCATGCCATTAGTCACTGCTCAACAGTCCTCAATAGCTCCCACTTGCCTGCCATAAAATGTCATCTGTTATTTACAGCAGGCCAAACTTTCGAGTAGCACTTGTTCTTCCCATCCTCTCAATGCATGTACCCCTAGCTGAGCCCTCTGTTTCTCATAAGCTCTAAACCTGGTTTCCATGGAAATAGAGTTCACCATGTAATTGCTGGTTTATATAAGGCGAGGCTCTGGGAAGGTATGGCTGTTGTAGCTGAACTAGTCTATGTCAGAGTTTTCGCTCTGCCACTTAGGAGTTGGGTGACTTTGGACAAGTTGCTTAACTTCTCTGAGCTTCAGGTTCCTTATCAATAACATATGATTACAGTCTGGTGATATAGCTCGGTGATAGAGTGCTTGCCTAGCAGATATGAGGCCTGCGATTTGCTGTCCAGCGCTGCACAGAAAACACTGCATGTCTCCACAATGGAGTGTTTTTCAAGAACTGAAAATATTATGATGGCAATAATGATGGCAGCTACCGTGCATGTTGTGTTTGCTGTGTGCCAGGCACTGTTTTAAATATTGTATTAATCTGTACAACAACCAAATGACACAGGTACTACTATTTCAGGGTTTTGCAGATGGGGAAACTGAGGCACAAAAAGGCGAAGCTAGTAAATGTCACTAGTGAGGGTTCTCTCCAGGCAGGCTGGCTCCACAGCACCCCTCCTTCATCACTTTTAGGAGCGGTCTTCTGCTAGCTGGTACCATGGGCCCATCATTCCAGATGTGAAACTCCTGGGAAACCCAATGCAGTTTGGAATTCAGGGCTTAGAGCATTATAGGAAAGCTGTATTTGGCATAAGTAGAACACTTCAGTGAGTTCTGCATCAACAAGACATATCTCTTACATATAAACACACACATGCATGCAGATACACACACACAGTGAAACAAGATGTTGAGTTGAAAGGTTTTGGATTTCAAAACTACAGATAAGACATTGCAGCCCATAGTGATAAAACAACAAGCAGTCATTTTCAGCATAGTAAATGGTGACCATTATTATTGTGACTTTTGTGTCTTCTTTTTCTGCATGAGCTCATAGTCAGGTATACTGAAAAGTATGTCTGCTCGCCCCGGGGGTGGGTGGGAGGAGGAGTGGGCAGCGGGGCCGGGTCTGAGCCTCGGTCACATGTAGTGCTGTCTCATTTCCCCAGTATGACTTCATGGAACGTTTGGATGGCAAAGAGAAGTGGAGCGTGGTCGAGTCGCCCCGGGAGCGGCGCAGCATCCAGACCCTGGTTCAGAACGAGGCCGTGTTTGTGCAGTATTTGGACGTGGGCCTGTGGCACTTGGCCTTCTACAATGACGGCAAAGACAAGGAGATGGTGTCCTTCAACACAGTGGTCTTAGGTAGGTGCAGGTGTCTCTGAGATGAAACACCAGAACAGGAAAGGTGGAGATACCCTGGGTTCCTCTGTAGAAAACACACTGTCCAATATAGTTTCACCTTCTGATGAGACCAAACCAGAATCCTCCACTTAGGCTTCTGAGTATTGTGCACCTAAGTGAGCCCTGACCAAATGAGAAAGTTGCTTAAGCCAGGAAAGAACTGCCATTGGCCCACGGTTACAGGAAAGAGTGTGGGTCAGACTGCTGAGGCAAGTGCTGGCCACGCAAGCAGATCCCTGACTTGTGTGAGCCCTGGTGTCCTCCCAGGAAAAGAAGCACTAGTGCCGACCCCATAGGGCTGTTGTCCGGACGGAGGAAAAGACAATACCAGAGTCTCTCTCGCTAAGCATGTATTAGGGACAATAAACAGTGGCCATTCACATCAGCACTTCTTTCGGAAATTGAGCGTGCCTCAAGACAAAAAAGCTTTTTTAAACCTTAAGTTAAAGAAAAACTTAAAAACAAACCAAGGAAAGCATATAGATTTTTTTAAAATTCTACCTTTATTGTCAAGTAGGCACATCTCAAAACTGCTTTAATTAAGCATTTGTCATTTTTTGGCCTGTCTTAGCCCTGCTTTTTATTAGCTAGCAAGAGAAATACTAAGGTTTTATCCAAATTTTCCTCTTCTGTGTGCACAGAAATCCCTTCAAGGGTCATTATCTTAAGAAGAACTTACAAAGTTTTCACAACAAACCCTCAGAATTTTAACAAAGAAGCTGCAGATGTTTTCATTAAGGTTATTTTTCCAGTGGGTTTTATCTTCTTCCAGATGACAATAATCGATCGCAGGTAGAACCTCTGTGAACTAGTGCAGATTGTTAGGCTCATTTCACAGAGGATAAACTGAGGTCCAAAAATATGGAATGATGGCTGTGACATGGGCTTCTGGGCCCTCCCATTGCTCTTCACAACATCATGTTGTTCCAAAAGCATTTAGTTGTGGATCTCTAGATTTCCTAGAGAAATTGCATTGGAAGAAATGGGAGATCCAGGGCTAAGTCCCAGATTTTCCTTCCCACACTTTAAACTGGGCAAAGTCACTGATCTTCCAGAGCCTTCCACTGATCTTCCAGTTTCATCATCTGTGGAACGGTCACACACATTCAAAGGTAACCACATCCAAAAGGGTGGTGTGAGGCTCACAAAAAACAGAATGCATCTGGCATGGAGTCGGTAGTCAATGAATAAGAGCCGGTGATTGTCTTGTAGGAATGTCTCCTGTGCAGCTGTTTTTCTATTGACTGCGTTTTAAGAACTTCTCTACCCACCCCATGGATTTTTCTGAGGGCTTCCCTTATTCTTAAATGACCTGTGTAATCCAACCTGAAATGCAGGCAGCTATTCTTCACCACTAGCCCAACTTCAGAACCATATAAAGTCCACATAGAGAGTTCTGATATTGACCATAGGATTGCAGTCATTCCCAATTCTCTCTGCTAAGTGAAGATTGGCCCTATCAAAGCCAGCCAAATGCTCTAAAGTAGGAGTTGGCACACTGTAGCCCAGGGGCCGAATCTGGCCCGCTGCCTGGTTTTATAAATAAAGTTTTATTGGAGCACAGCCACATTCCTCTGTTTACATATTGTCTATGGCAGCTTTCCCACTGTAACGGCAGAGTTGAGTCATAGCAACAGAGACCATATGGCCCACAGAGCCTAAATAGTTACTATCTGTCCCTTTTCAGAAAAAGTTTGCCAACCCCTGCTCCACAGTAATGTCATCACTTAGTATAACGAAAGTCACTGGAGAAGCATTCCACAAATGGAAAATGTCCAGGATGAGGTTAGGTACCCATGAGGGGAAGAGAAAGCAAAATGGTAGAGACTAGCTCACAAAAAGAAAAAAATGAGAAACAAATTTGGAACTTGTTTGAGATGTTGAGATTTTTTAAAAATCTTTAGTTTAAGAACATGACAAGAATTGACTTCCTTTTGTCACCTTGTGTTTAAACTCAGAAGGCTTGACATGTACATGACAGGCATATGACGCACGGCGCCTGGCTTGGTTGGTATCTATAAGCACTCTGTGAAATGCTTGGTAACCAGGGTGACACAGGGCATGCACTATTGTCAGCCTATAACTTTGTTATCCATTAGCTTGGTCAGCTCATCAAGCAGCCATATGCAGTGGGTAGCATCACGGTTCCCTCCACTTTCCAGTTGTGGAGGATGCCAAGGCTGAGAGCCACTGAAGGACTTGTCCAAGGTCACATACACCCAGTAAGAGGTGACCTCAGGACTCAGACTGTCAGAGCCCATGCTCTCAACCCCTGGAGACTTATTTCTGAAATTCTGGTCAAATACATCGCTTTTCCCATGAATGGCAAGTTTTCTGCAGGGCCGGGTTATCTCAGACCAGCTTCTGCCCTCCTTTTCTTTCACCCACATGCAGCCCCAGGCACTGCGGCAGTGAATTCCCTCCCCCCAGGCCATTATCCTCCCTCAGCTGTCAGGGCTGAACAGAGCAGTTCTCCTGAGAGGATTTCTCTCTCATCCAGGCTGGAGCTCAGAGAGAAAGTCAAAGGTAATCGGCCTAATAGTTGGGCAGACATCTTGATAGAGCAATGATAGTAATTGGGCTGAAACACAAGGACAAGAATAGTGTTTTATTTGGTTCGAAGGTTCTTCCCCACATACCTATCATCAGGACGTTCTCCATCAAGCGCAGCCGGGAGGCCGAAAGCCCCTGCGATGGGAAACAGAAGGGAAGGTGCGAGACGGGTGTCAACTGGCGATCACACTAAGTACACCTTAGACTCAGGAGTCTGCGCTGTGTTCATCAGAGCAGCCACCTGCCTTCAGAAAGGGGTGTCCTCTGAGAGCAGCACAGGGCCTTTGTGGAAGCAGGACGCCAGCCTCTGTGTGTTATGGCGTCCCTTCCTGCGCTGGCCCTCTCTCCTGTCATTTCTTCCTCACAGATACTTAAGCCAAACTGATATAAAGAAAGACAGTAATATCTTAGCTGTGCTATCTTAGCTGAGAAAGGGAATGGAAAAGAATGGCTCCTTTGTACTTCAGCACTACCATGTGATAGTACTTTTCCCTCAAAAACTGTACAAATGCTTCAAACACAAGGCCCTCAAGAAAATGAAGTGATAAGTGCTCTCTGTCACGGTGTTTATTTGTTCCAGATTCTCCTGCCCTCTGAGATGTGTGCATGTGCATGCAAACACACACACGTACACACACACACACACACACACACACACACATGCACACAAGCACTCTTTGACAATATTTACCAAGCATTTCATGTATGTCAGGCTTGAGTGATACCTCAGTGAACAGTTTGGCTCTGGGCGCTTCCTCACAGGGCTGGATAAAGAGAAGACAGACGCATCAGGCCGCGATGATAGGAGAGACAGGAACAAAGAAGTGATAACGGAACTCAGATTGAGGAAAGGAAGTAGGAAGACACCCCAGAGCTAAATGATCTCTAACCTGACCTGTAAGGATCAAGTCCCCAGGTGAAGCTTCCCAGCCAAGTGAAGAGCGTCTGAAGACCTCAGTCCTCACTCGTGGATGGGACTGTGGAGCCAGGGAGCTCCCTGCGCCCTCACTGTCATATCTGTGAAAATGCCAGTTTGGAGAACTGGAAGCACCAGCCTCAGAAAGGTCCATTTCCACCAAACCATACCCAGACCCACAGGCTCAATGGGAAGCAGTCTCTACCTCCAGACAGAAATGACTTCCAGAAATGTACGCTGGGTGAAGTGGTTCCTCTGTTTACAAGTTTGTTCTCAGTGGTTCCAGAATAAAATCCAACCTCTCTGCAGAGCCTGGATCATCTCTAAGCTCTTACATCACTCTATATGTTTATACTCTGGATTCTGCACCCTTCTTTCCCACCTCCGGGCTTTTGCATACACTGTTTCTCCTACCTGGAATACTCATGGAGCTTTTCACTGGAGCATTCTAGCTCATCCTTCCATGTTGCCTGCATAGAATACAAGGGCCCTTCCTTCTCATGCCCTGTAATTAGTGTCCTCTTGTTGCCTTCTGTCCTAGTATCCCATTCTCTTCAAAACACTAATCATAATTTTTACTTATTTTATTTGTTTGATTTTTTTAACTCCTATTCTCTACAACCATGGAAAGTTCTAGAATAGGAGGAACTGTGTCTATCTTATTCACCATGGCATCTCCAGTTCCTTGCATTAAATAGGTGCTTAGTTAATAGACTGAACCCCATATCAAGAACTGTAGTAAGTAAACCTAACATGTTAGCCTGCCACTGTTTCCTGAGTGTCATCAAAAGACATAAGACTACTGGGTCAGAGAAAGGGAACTTACTAACTAAAGTAATACTATGTCCCACTTCAGCATGCATTCTCATGTCCAGGTCCTATAGAATAACACAAAGAGGGCCAGGTGTTCCCATACATTCATTGCATTACAATACAAGAGAGAACTCCTGAGCTTACTGATCCTGAGTCTCCTAGAATGGGAGGTACATATGCTTACCCTTGCTCCATGGGGAGACATCATCTATATTACATCTGGTAATAAGTAAACCTATGCTTTACTCTGGGGGTGCACATCTGTCTCCCAAGGCTGTGCCCTACTCAGACACCCTTGAGGAGATATTCCAGAACATTCTGGAATGTCAATGCCTCTGCTCCCAAGGTATTCAGAAATAGGAGCAACCCAGGGAGGTCTGACTCTCAGCACCATATGAAATTCCCGGGTTTTGACCCACAAAAGCGCCTACTGCTTTTAGAATAAATGTTGAGGACATGAAACACAAATGTAGCACTTGGGTACACACATCTCAGTCTACCTTAAAGAACCAAGCTCTAAGAGGCTCAGCCTGGAATGTTAATTGCTACATACAAAAAAGAAAAAAAAAAAAACCTGGCTTGATGGAGTCTATGCTCTTTTTACCCAATTTTGTAGAAGCAAATATACTCATTGAATTTTCCTCAGAGTGCCAGAAACCAACTACAGCCTGGTTCCAGAAGAACACAGCTGAGAAGTGGAACACAATAGAAAGAAAGCAAAATTGCATGGTTTGATTTTTCGGTTCAGAGTGGGAGTAAATGGGAAAATTGGCTTAAAGGAAACCTATCCTCACCACTCCCAGGTGACTCTATTAGGAGCGATTCGACTTTACACCACGACACCAAGCCCACCTGCCCACTGCTCCCAGCACTGTGTACATCACATTTTGGGCCTAGTGGCTTGCATCTTTCTTTTTATCATTTTCATACTTTAGAACCTGAAAATCTAAAAGGGTTTTGTTTTCACTTAAGGCAAAAACAAGGATAATAACTTTAAACGGATGCATCCATATCTATGCAGACCCAAGCAAATCAATGTGAAAGAGTTCCAAAATGATCCTTTGGAAGGTACAACTTGACAGTAGGCATAGAAATAAGATGCTTGTGCAAGTTAGAGTCAGTGTGAACTAATTGATTTTCATGTAAAATAAGAGCCACAAAAGTGAGGTATAAAAGGATTTGTGTATAACCAAATACAGGTAGCTATCACATAAAGAGCCCCAAGTCATGCCTAAATGTATGTCTTCTTTACACCCATGTGTCACTTAACAAGGGGAAAATATTCTAAGAAGTGGTTCATTAGGTGATTTCAATCTTGTACAAACATCATAGAGTACTTCCCCAAACTTCGATGCTAGAGTCTACCACATACCTAGCTATATGCCTATACTATCAGTTATACCATCCATCACGGACCAAAATGCCATATATGGCTCATAATTGTACTTGAATTTTTTTATTATACTTCCTCAAAGCAGAGACTATTTTTTACCCTAGAATGCTGGCATTAGTAATACTCACTCTCATTCTGAAGAATTACCCTCCATACCTGAGGCTAAAAACTGATTCCCACTTATCAGACCACACCTCAAATGGATGGGATGATTTTTTTCAGGTTAAGAAGGGATATAGTGTTTTAAACTTTTCAAAAGTTAAACAGTTTCATTGTTTTTATGTCCAAGTAAGTGCTTTCCTTTGAGGACAGCCAAAGTTGCAGTTATACAAGCCCCACCCTCCTGCTTAGATTCATCAGGAGAGTGCTATGGTGGCTTCTTCCATGTAGTCAAATTGCCCTCATCCCCAACATTCTGTATTCTCTAACTTGGTTCACTTATATTTCTTCCTGGTCTCTTGTAGCTATCTGAGTTAGTCCCACTGATCTTTAAAAGTGTTGGATGACTGTTAAATAGCAGGCAGCAAGGAGGAGGTAGATGCTAAATCTCTCTTTCTCTCTTTCAGATTCTGTGCAAGACTGTCCACGCAACTGCCACGGGAATGGTGAATGTGTGTCTGGCCTGTGTCACTGCTTCCCAGGGTTTCTAGGAGCAGACTGTGCTAAAGGTATGTGACATCACATTCCTGCCATGGTTGGAAAACCAGGTGTGAGCTGCCCGGAAGAGCTGCACCGAAGTACCCTGCTAAGCAAGTTCTCCTGAGACATGGTGCAAACCCATGCGTGCTCCAAGTCCTCACCCTTTGGCAACGAGTAGGTTTTGATATATGAACATTGGCCAACATACCTATAGGAGCAAAGCAGTTATCTTTGGCACCGAGGTGTGCTGAGAAGAAAGATTTGCTAAAAATGAGATGGTTGGATTTCCCGTAAAAGCAGGAGTGAATTACCATCACCCCTTTCTTATAATCATTAACTTCTATGTAATGGAAGATTAAGCATCTCAGGGTTAGTAAATTTCATTCATTCTGACCAGCTACACTCTTAATCTAGGAAGCGCTATTTATCTTGGTGGAATCGGTTTTAAATTGTATTATTAATTTATCTAGACTGTTTTGCAAAGAACGGCTGGGGCCTTGGGATTCTTGGGGGAAAGGTAATATAAGAAAGAAAATGACTCTCTCAAGAAAAGGGAATTTAGAGACTGCACACCCAGCCTGCAAAAGACCTTCAGAGTGACCTTGAAGGGCTCAGATGCAAGCATAGCTCCTCATAATTTGACATGGTACATGCACAGGTACACATACACACATATACGTATATGTATCTAGATAAATATGATATTGAAACAAAACCTTCACAAAGTGATGCCTTTACTCTGTGTTTCTTTTCTGTTTTATTCTGTCACTTCTGTAAAATACTGGGTCTCACCCACTACACTGACTCCCCAGCCACCCCAACACGTCAGATCTCAGTCTGAAAATGTGATAGTGAGGCTGGGAACACCTGCTCAAGAGGCAGGCAGTCCTGGGGTCGAGTCTCAGCTCTGCCACTGAGTATCGTGTGCCCTTGAGCAAGTCCTTCAGCATTTCAGAATCTTGATTTCATCATCTGGAATGGGGGCAGTTACTTCAGTAATTCATTGTGAGGTCAGTGTAACAAACATACAAAGCTCTTAGTTGGGACATTGTACAACATCAACAGGTTTGATCGTATTATTTATTTGTCTGATTATATTTTACTTTACATATTTAAATAATCTTTTCATTATTTTTATTTGTGCTTCATGTTTTGGTTGTGGTTGGTCTTTTTGAGACAGAGTCTTGTTCTATAGTTCAGGCTGGCCTTGAACTCGCTGGGTAGCCCAAGTTGGCCTTGAATTTGCAGCATTCTTCCTGCCTCAGCTTCCCCAGTGCTGGGATTACAGGTGTGCACCACCGTACCTAGCTTATTTGTGCTTCATTAAAATACCCTTTTGCCTAGATATTCAGAGAGGTTTATTATTACTAAGTGTGCTGTGTAAACCCTAAATAACGCCACTCCTTCCTCCTACCCTTGCCACACTTGCTCAGGAAACTAATACTTCAGATATTCTTCACATTTCTGAGATTTGAGATTCCCACGCTAATGCACACTGACTGCTAAATGAGTGGGGCTTTCTTTGTCCTTGATTGTGGCCTTGGTGGCCTGTGCATTAAGACTCACTGCTGAGAGACACTACTTACCATCCTCTCCTCTACCGCACAGCACAGAGAAAGGACCAGTCGGTTGTCAGATCTGGAAAGAAAGCAAGAATCCAGCGGGACAGTTCTCTTGTCTGTGTTTCAGAATAGTGCACACACATCCCAGGGCACGGGGAAACAGCAGCGGAGTGAACAGTACATACTGCAGCCCCTATGTACGCTGGCCCAGGCTCCAAGGGCCCCAGCCAAGCAAGAAAGACGACACACTGCATCACATGTCCGGTGCTCTTCCTGGTACAGGCTTGAAAGGAAGGCAAACTCGATATCGTTTGAGTGGCTTTTCTTGCGTAATCTAATTTTCCTGGGAGTGAAGGCATTAATGAGAAGGAGGACAGAGCAGTCCTTTTATACATGGCTGCAAATGGGCTGAACACCCAGGTGCATGGCCTGTGAGCTGTAAATGTATATTAACACTGACACACATCAATGTATTATTAATCCTAAAAACCATGTGTGTTCTGACTGCACATCCAGTTACTGGCCTTTCAGACCAAAGTAGCCCAGCCATTTAAGAACCCTTCGCTCTAAATCCATTTGCAGGCGAGCGTCCATTCTGCATTATGGATCTGTAATGGAGTGTGCATTTAGCTGCTTAAAAGGACTCTCGGTGTGTGTTTTGCATTCACCACCTGTCCTGTGGCTGGGCACACACTCCAAGTGCGCATTAGCCATGGTCTATAATTGATCCTTGTGCAGCAAATATTGAGTGGCTGTTAAGAGTACTTACTCCTCTGTGCTCAGTCTCTGCTCCTGAAATCGCGCTTTGAACTTGTTGTATATTTTAATTTAACTGTTGATGCATATGGTGGGCAAAATTGAAGCACTTAAAAAATAAAATTGCCTTTCCCATTTACTCTAGAAAAAGTTGGCTTAGGAGTGTAAGAAGTAGGCTTCTACCTCTGGGCCCTAAAAATGTTTCTCCCTTGGTGTTTTTGAAATGACCACATTTCAAGGTACCTTCTTATGCATACCACCAATTTTCTTCTCATTCTAAGCTTGTGTTTTCCAAACTTCAGGCTTTCATTTGCCAAGTTTATGGGTCATAGCCAGGCATGGTGGTGCAGGCCTGTAATTCCAGCACTCAGGAGGCTGAGGCAAGAGGATCATTCTGAGTTTGAGGCCAGCCTGGGTTACTTAGTGAGCTTAAGGCCAACTTGAACTACACAGGTAGACCCTGTCTCAAACAAGCTAACATCAAGCTCATGGATCATTAGTACTGTCATTAACATATTTCTCCCAGTCCACTCATTATATTTCCATAGATGCATTTTTAAAAGAACAATGCTAAAAGCTAAAATGAAAAGAGAAAACTAGAACTGATTGCCATAAATAGGAAAACTTATTGCCCCTTAATATCCAGAGACTAATATTTTCACAGTGAGGAGTATCCAGGCCACTTCTGCTTCTAACATACTTATGTCACACCCACAGCCCCCAAACTGAACTTGAACACAAGTAAGCAGCCTGGCTTCCTGAGAGATCCAAGCCTTGAATGCCTCATCCCATAAGGATGAGCTCCTAAAATTAACCAAATTCCCTGGGTACATCTGTGGGATGAAGTGAAATTGTGAAAAGAGAGGCACTGGACTTGCACTGACCCAGCTTACACCAGGAGATCTAATAATTCGCCCCTGATTCACCTCTGATGCATGAAACCTGTATTTCCAATAACAATACCGGCGTGAAGCCTGTATTTCAAATAACAACAAAGAGCTCTAAAGTACTAACTGTGGACAGGCATTATGCGGAATACTTAATATATACAGTCCTATCATCCTGATGTGAACAATTTGAAATGAATCCTATTTTTTTTTCAGTGTTAAAGCTTGAACTCAGAGCTTTGCACATGCCAGACAAGCACTGTACACTGAGCTATACCCCACCCATGAAGTGAATCCTATTTTTACCATTCTTCTCTCCCTTGATTTTTTTAAACTTTTTACATTAAAATTCTTTTACACTTCCAGACAAGTTACTAAAATAACACATAGAATATCCATGCAGTGTTTGCCCATATTCCCCTAATGTCAGTATTTTAAGTTTTCATCATTCAGGTATCAAAACCAGAAAATTAGCATTCATGAAATAATATTAACTGATTTACATGTGTGTGTATAATTTTACCCTTTCCTTCTGGTTTGGGATCCCACATTTTATTTAGTTGTCATGCCTCCTTGGTCCCTCCAGTCTCTCCACCCTGTGACAGCTCCTCAATCTTCCCTTGTGTCTCAGGACCTTGACCCTTTTAAAGAGCATTGCTTGGGTATTCTGTAGCACCTCTCTTAGTTGGGGCTTGTCTGATATTTTCTGATTAGAGTGAGATTATACCTTGTTAGAGAGATACTGTGTACCATATCAAAATGTACCACTGATGTGAATATGAAAAAATTAACCTGTGATTTATATGTGGCTGGTTTCCCCCTTACACACAAGGCAGAGAGACCAGAAGGCTGGTCCCATCAGTCCTGCACAATCTGTCAGTGGCTATGACAAGTTGCCACTCACAACTTTTGAGCCCAAGAACCTCTGAGTACCGGCAGGAGTAACCTGGAGCAGGGAGGAGGAGGTGATCGGGCTAGCAAGTATCTCAAAGAAGGACAGCTGGTCCTCAGTCTCTTGCTACCCATAACAGTGCCCACCATCATTTCCCTTTTTCCTGGATTAAAAAGCCTGAAGATGCCCTGAGCACAAGGTCCTCCCTCGTCACCAATTCACAGTCACCTTTGTTCCTTCTCTGACAGCTGTACCCAGGATGCCTTGAGTCCTGCCAGTTTCTGCTGGTGCAGGCAGCCAGCACTCAGGCCCTCCTGCCAGGGGGAGAATTTGCCACGTTAGCAAGCGACATTCCCATCACATCCAAGTGACTGAGTATGTGTCCAAGTGACAGAAATACAGATTTCCTCTCTTGAACTCACACTATGCCTCCTGTGCCCTCAGATGCGCCATGCAGGCAGCAGCTCCTTGTCCCCTTCTAAAGCTGCCAATCTGTATCAGGCCTCTTCACACATCCTCGTGGTGGGCAGAGGGACCTGTCATGCTGCATTTGCAGAGCACTCATTCTGGAGCCCCCACCCCATGCTGGGGGTCCTGAGAGGTACTGAGGTCAAAATGGAGATGACCCTCACTCCGAAAGAACATATACCGGTCCTTACTCATTGTCTCAGGTCACCTGAGGGTGTCGAACTTATCTGTGCACTTCGCACATGCTTATTGTGTGCCTGCTCTGAGTCAGGCAGAGTACTAGGAGTCACAGATACAGGGATGAGAAAAGGAGCCCCGAACCCTGCCTTTCCACTGCTTCCAGTCTGATGGAAGCACACTGAAATTAGTGGGATAATTATAACTCAGCCCAAATGCTCTGCTGTGCACTTCGGACTGTGCAGACATCACTAAGGAGACAGGGGAGTATGTGAAGCAATGAAATGCATGTGCTATACATAAGGAGTCTTTCAGGATCTTCAGGGACTGCTCCAGTGGGGGCTCAGAAATCACAGTGGAAGGAGCAGATGAACTTGAAGGATTGCTGAGGCAGGCAGCTCCTAGGGAGGGAGCCATAGAGGGCCACATCACAAACAGGCCGTTCGAAGGTGCTCCCAGGCACAGGCTCAACCAACAAGTGAGGAGCAGAGAGAGAATGAGGCCCTTTCTTAGGGTGCCTTCACTGGGGTGGAGGCACAGTACCCAAGCAGAAATTGTGAGGAAATTCCTCCAGTGTGTATGACTACTGCTAGGTCACGGCAGGGGAGAGAGGGAGAGGAGCTTGTGGCAGAGACCAGCTTTATCGGCCCGGTGCACCTGGTTGACTGGGCCAACCCAGTCTGCACGTGGGGCTGTCAAAGCCATCAGGGGAAAAAAATGAAGTTTCTATACTTTTGAAAAATTCACAATACAGTGTGGATTTAGGAACATAGCCAATTAGTATCAGAGACTGCAGAGAAAAATCCTGTGGAGGAAGACAGCAATAAGAGAAATACACTGAACAGTGTTTTTCAGTATAGAATTTCATTAATTGGGCAACATAGTAAGCACTCTGCTCAGATTCCGAGCTTGAGGAAAAATGGCATTTCTTTCCCAGTAATTTGTACCATTTTCCATCAGGTGCCTCCTTCCTCTCCAGCATTGACTATGCTTAGAGAGCAAGTTGTTTATTCTCCAGTTTTCTGTTATTACTATTCCTTTTGCATAGCCTTCTCATTCCTTTCAGGCTGTTTGTTGTGGGCTACCAGTTTTTAAATTACTACTCCTCTTCCTTTTATTTAAAGGCCTTCTGTTGACTTACAGTCTTCCTAGACTTGTTTGAAAATTGTCCTTGCATTTCAGAGCAGAACAGAGGCTTCCGGTCCCTGTCTTTTGACCCCAGCTCCTCAGATGACTTCTTTAGGCTGAACTAGAGGCCTCAACCTACAGCTGAATGTGAACACACCATAGCTTTAGTTGTTAGATAATGTGAATCTAATCACTGTTAGAAATGACAACTCCTGCTGCCAAACAGCTGTCAGTGGAGGCCCAGAAATGCCACAGCCACAGGAACGTGAAGTTGTCTCTCTAGGGGTTGGTCTCAGCTCCTATCCAGCTTCTGTGGAAGCCTTGAACATGGTTCTTGCCATTTTTCTCCTGTTAAGTGGCAAATGTATCCACTGCCCAAGCCCTCATGGCCACATTCTAGTACTGAAATCCGATTATCACCACATCGTCACGGTCATCGCCGCTGACACACACTGAGTTCTTCCCACAAGCCAAGCATTCCACTGAGCATCTATATAATGTGTCATTTAATCACCAGTGGGCCAGTTGTATAGAGGAATATCTCCTCTGATAGATGAGAAAATTGAGGCGTCTAGAGAGGGTAAGTAACTTGCTCACGGCCCCTCAGAGAATAAGCGGCGTTCATTCTGGGATTCAGAATGGACAGCCTCACCCAACTCTTGACACAAGACCAGCCGTGAGGGTGACCTCAGCACATGTGTTAGGGGCGGGGGATGTGGCTTTGCAGGCAGTGCTGTGATGGTCACACAAAGTTTTTGAAGAGGAGAAAAGAGTGTTTGCTAAATAGAAGTGGCGGGGCCAGTTTGAAGCAAAGTCTGTCTGGTTTCAGAGCCTATACTGTAAACACTCTCTCAGTTACCAGAGACACCCCCGTACCTTCCTCATGCAGTCATTTGCCAGCTTCTGTTTCATGGGCCTCCAATGTTCTCTGCTCCGTTGTCCTCTCTGTCCTCATACCCACTGCCCTGTACAAGTGACCACCAGCCGCTCTTGATGGCATTCCTCTTCCTGACTGGCCCGAGTTCTCCCAGAGCGCTACAGGCTCTCACTACTCTCCTCCAGCACCTTCAGCGGCTCCCAGTTGTCTCCACTACAGTTTAAAGACATGTACCTGGGGAGAGTTTTACACATGCACATCCCAGATCCCTCTCCCATGCCAGTGGAATCTGAACAGTAGGACTGGTTCGTGGCTCACACTTGTGCCTTTGTAACAAGCCTCCAGGTGGCTCTAATGCAGGTAGTTAGGGACTATATGTTGAGAATAAAGCACACACTTGTTAGGATGGCATCCAAGTTCATTCATGGCCTGAGCTACACTGGTGTGTCACCTCCAACAAAGGCCATACACCACAGACTCCAGAACTGTCCCTCATCAAGTACACAGGACTGCCACTTCCTCATTTCTACAGCTGTTTTCTCAGCTGGATTATTCCTGTTGATCCCAGCCGGTCATCCTTGAAGGCCACCCTCACAGGTCACCACCTCCTAAAAGCAGCCCCGGAAACAACACTGCAGTCCCTGGGGCCTGAGACATCGCAGCAATGGACTTCCTTCTTCCTCCACACTGCACTGTGCTCTAGCTGGGCAGCCCCCTGTTCCCCCGGATCACCTTGTCAGGACGCGTATGTGCTTGCTAACTGTCCAGTGACTTAAATTTAGGAGACGAGGCTAACAGAACCTTGCTGGAAAATGTCAAAAGACTCAAAGTGAGTGCTGGAGAACAAGATTCTAATTAGATTAATCATGCAATGATGAGTCAGCCAGCTTCGAGACACAGATTGGAACAAAGAGGGCCTGAGAGTGAGGGAAGAAAGGAATAAAGAGGAAGGAAGGGCAATATCATTTATTTCACAATAGGCGTGTGCTATATCAGAATGAAAAAGTGGTTAAAAGGAGAGCTACGGAGATTGAATCTACACTCCTCCAGTTCACTTTGCCCACTTTAGGAAATTATTTAACCTCTGTGAGCCTTGATTTTCTCATCTATAAGATAGGAACAAAGGCCATACTCCTTATTGCTTTGCTGTGAAGACTAAATGGGTGTAAAATGTGGGAAAGCGTGCTGGCGTGCATGAAATGATTCTTCCATGTTAGGTTTGGCCTTCCCAGCAAAACCTTGTCAGCACTGTCTGTATCCCTATGTTCTGAGTAAGAGAAATGAAGACTTAAAGAAAGTAAGGTCATAGAGTAGGATCAGATTTTGAGGGCATGTCTGCCTGATTCTGAAGCTTGTGACCCTACTGGCCACAGGAGAGAGACTTGAGGAAGACCCCCCCAAATCGATGGCAGGGACCTCTCTCGAAGCCCTCAACAGTAAGTGCCGTAGACAATTCAGGGAGTCTGACCTTCCCGAGTGATTCAGCGTCATATTCTCCTTTCCTCTCTCCTCAATAGGCTTCTCCCTCTGCCCACAGGAGAGAAAGGGCAGATCCTCATTCCCTTCCCTGGTGGTGACGGGTCCGCCCGCCACCCCAGGAATGGCTCCCACACAGCTTTCTCCTTTCACAAGTGGCCTCACTGTCTTCATGAAAGAGGCTCAGGTCCCAGCCTCTTTCTGGGGTGCATCCTAATTCCTTCAGAATCATCTTTCACACCTATCTCCCTCTGCCGTCCCTGTGCATGCCAGAGACTACATTAATGCAAACAGGCCTGGCAAGGCCGCTGCTCACAGGAATGTCCCTCAGCCCACCGCAGGGTGACAGCTCATTTCCACCCTCCTTCCTCCCGCCCATGGCCTGAGGAAGTGTCCAGAGTTCCTTGACAGCTGGGTCCAGTTGTAGGCACCGGAAGCAGGTGCGTGTGGTATGTGTCTTGCAGAAAGTGACTGAGAAGACACAGAGGACAAAGTCACATCTGATAAAATAGTATGAGGGGAACTGCTAGCAGATATTAAAGATGAACTACATGCTAGACGTGGTACACAGTGTTTTACAGGTGTTATTTCATTACTTCTTCAAAACATACATTACCATTCTTATGTTGCAGCTAAGGAAACCGAATAGCTGAGAAGTGAAGCCACTTACCCAAGTAAAGTTTTAGAACTACACTCTTAACCACTAGAAGAGTGATGCTACGCACCTGGGCACTCATCAAGATCCTCTTAAAGCACTGATTGCTGGGCTCCACCCCGATTTCTGACTTGGTTGCTCTAGAGTTCTAGCACTGACCTCAGCCACTTGTTAAATTTTCAGACACTCGCGCCCAGGCCAGACCTTCTGAATTCGAGCCTGCGTTCTGACAAGATCCCCATGTGACTCTTGTGAACATCCAGGTTTGGATCTGTGGTAGCTTTCCTATACCTTGCACCAAGTATTCAACACCCATGAATTTAAAAAGCAAAGGGTTTATTTGACAAGTTCAGAAGTTTTAACCCACAGTCAGCTGACTCCAGGGCAAAACATCATGGCAGAGTGACATAAGGAAAGTTGCATAGTTGGTGGACCCAGACACCCAGAAGTGTGCTTTACTCCTTCCCTTGGCAGTTGCTAAGTCAATCAAGTTGATAGTGAAGCCTAACCATGACATCAGGTCTAAATGATACTGCCCTTGAACTCTGCTGAGACTGCCAGAGAAGCCACAGAACTATGACCCAAAGCAGTGGCATCTCCTTTTTCTATCTGGGCGCCTTGCCTTGCCAGTAGGCATGGAAGTGGCTGGGAGTGATGGTGTAGGTTATCTGGTAGCCAATGTGAGTCCATCCCTGCAAGCTCCAATATGTAGCTGCTCGTGATGTTTCTCCTGCTTGTTGTATTACCAGAAAGAAATCCTTTCATGGAAGTTGAATCAGTCAGCAGTCCCCACGTTACATGGCTTCTGAAGCTAAAAAACTTTTTTTCTTTTAAACTACTAGGTAAGTAGCACAGGGTAAGCTCTGGAAGGCAAAATGCCAAACCCTTGAGAACGTGTAGATGTGATGCATGCAGATGTAGGGAAATTCTACGGTTTCAGGAGACTTTCCACAGTGGGAAGGATGTCAGCTGGGATGGGGGACAGAAAAAAGGTGTTTAACCCTGTCTTGCCTCATTACGATATGACTAGGTGGAACAATTTCCTCCTAAAGAAAATATTGATAACAAAATTGCATCTTTTGATTTCTCACTCTGTGCTAGGCCCAGCTCATCCTACTTTACATAGATCACATAGATTGTCTCCTTTCATCCCTACAAACACTGTGGAGTGGATATTCCAGAGTTCTTACCACTTTAATGATAAGGTTAATGTGTCCATAGTCATACATCTGTTAAAAAAAAAAAAAAAAAACACTCAAGCTAAATCCTAAGCCTATTCCATGCCGAGTGCTTTTCTGTTTGCGGAGGAGACAGTGGTACATAAAACAGATCCACCATGCCTTCCGGACACTTCCCTGCTTGTGGTTAAGGGGTATTGTTAATTTTCACATTTGTCTTGATGTTTGCCTGAATCAACAACAAAACTGTAAATCTGCTGCTATCTGGACTTGTGCTGCAGAAAAGCTTACTATAGTGTATGCTAAAGAATTTAAATATTCATTATGTAATTAATGCTGTTGTCACACAAACACACACACATACACACACACCTTAGACTGGTTTTAAGAACAGCTTAAGTACTTATCGATTGAGAACTTTTATAACTCTGAAAATGGAGGCGTCTCCATATCTCTACAGGTATTTTAAATGAATTGAATTAATCATAGGCTTAAAAGTCTCTTGCGATCTTCGTTAACTTCCCTGGGTTTAATTAAAACATCTGTGCACTTTTAATTTATCGATTCATCCAACTCATATGTCATGTTTTTAACACACCCCAGCATGCTCTGCATCATTTTTAACCCAATTTCCACTTAACTAAAGCAATTAAATTCACCCCGGATTAATTAAAGCATCCATACTTTCGTGCTTAAGTCAGCGTGTGCTGCTTTCCCCACATGGCTCCCGAATGTCAGAGATTTGACACACCTGATGAGTTTTTGTCCTTCTGGAAATTCTTCCCCGAATCTCCTTCTTGCTTATTAATGTGCCATTTGACAGAATGGGAATGAGGAAGTAGGTGCACCTGAACTCAGGCCCACTGAGCCAGGGACCCTGACCCCAGCTGTCAGAAGGCAGCCTCTGGTTTCCTCTTCTCACTGGGGTCCAGCTGCTTCTTGCCACAGCTGAGACCAACTAAAATGTCAGAGTGTTCTGGGCGGGAAGCTGGGGGGCCATGCAGGTCAGAGGTGACTGTCGCTGTCACAGTGCCTGGTGGTCTTTGCATTGATAACCTCATAATCACTTCTTAGTTCTGCTTCCCACCCTCCTCAATCTTCTGCCTGCACAAACAGGTCTTTGTTGTTCTAGCTACTGAGTAAGTGGGGAAACTGAGGCACTGAGAACCCCCGCTCCAGTCTTCTCAGTGATGCAGAGTAAGCCAGGGAGCTACCCAGAGAGATATAAATAAATCTCCCTGAACATTAGTTTGGATTTCTGCTCCTTCTAGCCGTGCTTGGCAGAGCCCGGTCCCCTCAGCCATGACGGTCCTGAGTGTCAGCCAGCTTCTCATTTTTCTCCCATCTGAGAAGCTAAGAATTATATCTCATTAGTATTTTTAGCTACACTTACTTAGTTGTTCATAAAACTGAATATTTTGCCATACTTTGATTGGCAATTCACATTATTTCTGTTGTGCCTTTGCTGAGATTTTCACTTTTTATTAATTTGTAGGAGCTCCTTGGATGGCTTAGATAGCAAATTTTATTCTGTAAACTTTTTTAAAGTATTTTTTCCTACATTGCTCATCACTTAATTTTGTCCCACAGTATCCCTTGTCAGATAGATTTTAAATTTTATGTGAATTCAGTCAGTCTTTTCCTTCATAGTGTGAAGAAATCATGCTTTACATACATGTCTCTCACCCAAGAAAATAAAGTTAGTCTTAAGTATTTTTCTGATACCTTTCTAGTTTTTTTTTTCCTTCTTATAGATCTTTAAGCTATGTGTTTATTTTTGAGTACGGTGTCCAGTAGGGGGTCAAACTTTATTGCCTGTCAAAGGAATTGCCAATAGCAGGGATATAGCTAGCAGGCAAATTCACCTTTCATAATACAGTACTGGTTTGTCTAGCACCCAGCCAACTCCACAACCTTAGAGGAAAATGGAGCAGCAACAATTTTGGGGCTAGGAACCCTGGACTTAGTTTGCCTGGCATCCATGACCCATGTGTCCCATCCTAAATTGCTTCAGAGCAACAGAGACATTTCCTTTCTCCCATCATATTTTTCCTTCCACCAACCCCAGCTGCTCACACATATTATTTTGTATCTGCTCACTCCATGGGATATAAAGCAACCACCTGTTACTACAATTTTGACAATTCACCTGGGTGCTAGGTTCGAGTATTATGTTCTCAAGTCTCTTCTAAAGGGTTTCAAATCAGTTTTCAAATTGCTTGTAAAAGATTCGTTATTTGAAATTCCATCTTCACAACTAGTCCAGCCAAATGTATTATGTGTCAAGCTTCAGGCATTTTACCTCTGCTTTGAAGACTGAGCCTCCCCAACAGCCTCTAAGTTTTCTCCAGGTATTTTCTCTACCGAAAGCTCCAACTAAACAGGATTTGTTTTTCTTAAAACATCAAACGTGAGTGGCTAGTCCTTTTCATGCCTACTGAGTAAATAACACTGATAATTCATCTCAACCCTTGCTGAGAACTGGGGGGAGGGGGTAGGTTCCAGCTTGATCATTAAAATGAGCTTTATACTATTTAAGTGATCTAAATTGTATCTCTTTTTTTGTCATTCTGTTAACTTGACATTCGTTAGTGGCAATGGTAATTTATTTTTCTTCTGAGGGAATCTTAAAGCTTCCATTTACTAGATTTAGTAAAATAGGAATAGTCAATTTGTACAAACATTTTAATTAATTTTAAATAGAAGCTTGAATGCACAATGTTCTACTCCTGTAAGCTTTAGGAATTGGAAAAAGAAACATGAACATAAACATTCCACATGTGATATCTGAACAGTCAGAACCAACTGCCACACCGCAAGCAGAGAGGGATAGGGAAAGAAATGATTAACTCTTTACATGAATATCTGGCAGTCTGCTGCTGCTGCTGCTGCTGCTGCTGGTGATGGTGGTGGTAGGGGTATGTATGCATGTGTTGAGACCTACTGCATTCTTTAATTAACCCCTCAAGTCAGATTGGGGATTCAGTCTGAAATTTCACAAGGGAGCAGCCATTAATTGCCTACCAAGTGTCAGCTCCTGCTTTGAATTCTTGCATGTATTATCTCACTTAGTCCTCCCAGAAGCATTGAGAGACAATTTTTTTAAAAGGGAAATTGAGCATCCAGGCAGTTAAGTCATCTTGCCAAAATCTCTCACCTGGTAAATAACAGGTTAGATCTTGAACCCAAGCACTCTTGTTTGTTCCTCTTCTACTTTGTCCTACTTCTTGGCAGAATATGGTGTCACCATTGTTTTTCTATAACTTGTCATAAAAATAATGTAGATTGCCCCATAGTAAAAGTAGAGAAGAGGTTGTTAGTATAAGAGGCTCCTCACTTCACACCCAGCCTCTCCAATGAGGAACAATCTCAGCCACATTGTGATGCTCTTGTTTGAGTTATATCTAAGCATGAGTCAGATACCCCAGAGTGAAGGTACTTTCCATGCAGACAACCTAGTGACCACTGGGGGGCGTTCACCTGGCATCTGTCTGCACTCTGCCCCAATGGCAAATGAATTACAGTACTAGAGAATTTTCACTCCTCTCATTAGCCTTCCCCTTTTTATACATCAACCAAGCTCATCAGGTACCTTGCTGTCCGGCGCACATCACCGTGTTTTGCATTTTTTACCACATTCCCAGCAAGATCCAGCAAATATACTGAAAAAAAGCTGCATTTAGAGATGTACAGAACTCTCTGATCTGACACTTTTGCCTTTTTTTTTTCCCCAAGTAATTTAAGTAGGTCACATTTTAAATTTGATTTCCCAGGCACCTGATTTTAAATAAAACCCATTCTTACCTTCTAGACAATTCTATTTTTTTTTTCACCACTTGGAGTTTATACAGAAGAGAAAGACTTTCACTATGAATAAAGAAAATTATCCTAGCTATATTTTATCAATTACTATAGGTAATGATTATTTGATCCTATTTTCTACCCTCCTCCACCTTTTGGGAAGAAAAAGAGTGCAGGCAATAGAACAGTGGTGATGATTTGTTGTGACTTTCTCTACCATCCATGACAGTTCATCCATTATCCAACCCTCAGGGCAGAAAGCTTACCTGACTCCACACTGTACAGCCAGACTTCTGGCTCTTATCTTATCTCAGTCTGGGAGTGCTGAGGGGTAACAAATGATGCAGATTCCAGTCTTCCCATCAGGAGATACCTTCAGTCTTACACAAAACAGAAATGATAAGTAGCGTTTTTTTCTTGAACGCCAACGCTATGTGCTTGCAAGTCTCAGCCTAGGCACTGCTTTGAAAGTTTTCAGGCTCTGCCTAAACTCAGAAGGACAAACTGCCTTGGGCAGCTAATGCTGCCTGCAGAAGTAGAGAAAGGAGAATAGTATTTCACCTGCACATTTGTCTTCCTGACCTAGAGTCTGATGAGATACTGACATGGAACTAACAGTCTTGCAACCCCTCTCCAAACTTCAAGAAAGCCCATAATTGCTCATGCCAGTTCATATTTGCCCAGTCTCTAACTTGAATCTTGGGCACCCTGGGTTCAAAGCTCTTTCCTCTACCCTTTTGCAGACAATCAGTATCTCTGGTAACTGTACAGATCCCTCTGCTTACACATCCTGAAAGTTGGAAGCACACTCCTTACATTTAGAGGGTTCATCTGAATTCAGTGTGTATCTTTGATGTTCCCACTTTGAACTCACTCTCCTCTGGTAGATTCATAAAGATAAGAATCCTACTGGAAATAGTGCCCTCAATACCTTTCACAACTGTCCTATCATAAAGCATTTTGGACTATTGGAATGTTTTTATTTCAGGTCAGTTTGAAATTAAGGTAAAACATGCCATTTCCCAGAAAAATACATCATGTGTGCAACATGAAGTTGACTCCAGGAAGTGTTCTTTCTCTGTTTTCAGAGAACTATTAAACTAAATAACTATTTCACACTTACCTGTAAATCCTGGAGCAGCCCTTGATGTCAGAAGCAAAGGAGAAGTCTTTACCCAATCAACCCAACATTGATGAACACAGCCCTCACAGGAAATCAACAAAGGCAAATATAGTCCTTGTCCTCAAGTTGATTTTTGTAGCTTCTGGAAATTAGACTCACAGAGGGAAGTTAATAACTGTAAAAACTAAATAGAAACTTTACAACACCAGGGAGTAATAAGGCAGGGTGGGGCATTTGACTAGGAAGTGATGCAACTGCGTGTGCAGTCCCTATGTGCTATGCCACCTGGTTGTGGGGGTTACAAGTTGTAGGATTCCCACAGACTGTGCTCACAATCACAGGAAAAACCTAGAGTCCCTGAAACATTGATTTCAGTCATTTCCGAAGGTACCTTTCTAAAGACTCAGGCCCTAGCCAGTGTTCGCATTTTAGGCCCAAGTTGGAACACAGATCGGAAATGTACAAACCAATGCTGAATGGAGAAGTCCAAAGCCTGAAGGAGACCATTCAAATCCCGTTCTTCATAAGGTCTCAAAGAGGGGGAATTGGTGCTATTGACATGAACTGCTGAAAACTGTCCATAATCTCATGCCACACAGTTCCCACTGACTTTTCAACCTCCTTCCCATCCAAGTTCTTTCCATCAAGGGACACAAAAGGATCCTAGGTAAGATGGGAACTGCTTCAGATTTTCTGTCTTAACCCTGCCTGGCCCCTTCCTTTTTTTAAAGTAGGTCGGGCCTACTTAATCTTAATATTTTGATATACATTGCCCTTTGAAGTAAGCACGCTGATGTCTTCATGGGATAGGTAAGGAACTGAGGCAGAAACGGAGTCATTACCCTAACTGTGTGCTATCCCCCTTCTGTTTTTACTGATATCAGCTCATCAGGACAGGAATCCACTAATCTGACAAGTTTGGTGAAATACTCAGCAATGGATCCTCTCCCCACAGCCAACAACAGTAATAACAAGGAAGTCAGTGTGGCTTTGTTAATGGCACAGATTTAGAGCCAGGCCAACTGGATTCCAATTAGGATTGCCTGTTTATGTGC